TACCCAAAAAAAAAAAAAACTCAGTCCTATAGCAACAAATCTTGGAAAATAAGCTCAAGGCCTTACGTCGAACATAAACAGTCAGATGTAAGGAATACCAATTACTCACTATTTGTAGCTTAATTGATTTCCCATCCTGCTCCACTGTGCGAATTTTCTGTAGCGTAGAATAAAGGGGCAAATTATCTTGAGAATTGAACTCCATAGTTAGGTTATTATTAAAGGGTTCAAAATAGAGATTGGGTTGTTAAAGGGTTCAAAATAGAGATGACGTACAAAGTCCACGCCGGTGGTACTAATGTAACTATCAATATAAGAATCGTCCTGAAAAAATAAAGAGATAAGAAAATGATGTTAAAGAAGCCAACGTGATACCTTCATGCAGAGAAAAACTTATTAATCCATGGAAGTAACTGCATAAGAATAGTCATCCGCACAACAATATCTGCATATTGACAAGCATTCGTACTAATATGAATACATATTTAATAATCTAGCATGGAAGTGGTAAAAGTAGGTTAAGGGACCTAGACAAAGCTTGGATTTAATTTGGAAAGGATAAATGAGACCAAATCTGGTTACTCATTCATCTATTAAAACTATAAAATGCACATTGCGTAACGATTAACGACTAACGGGTCTCTCTCTCCTCTTCGCTTATAACAATAGATTCTCACAGAATCCAACATATAAGACCGTAAACCCACTAAATACGAAGTATGTTAATGTGAGCAATTTCCGTCTAGTTAGTACCACTTATCAACTGGAAGGATCATAGAAAAACATTAATAAGCTGCAAACACGAAACACTCGTCTGATAAAGAACTTACAGCAAACCTCAGAAGAAGACATGATTTGCCTACGCCAGAATCACCAATCAGCAAAAGCTTAAAAAGGTAGTCACTGTTAAAAACAAAAAACAAAAAGACAGAGACCTTAGAACCCTTCGAGTATCATTTGGCGGCAGCACATAACCGAAACAATAGCAATCCCATTTCATATACTTTTAGCAGCACCAAAACATTGCTAAGGTTTTAGCTACAAGACAACCCAAGGTAACAATTATCTGAAAAGTTCAAAGGGAAAACATCGTCAACATCATCAACATACCCATTATATTCCCAACATACCCAGTATATTCCCAACAAGTTGGGGTCTAAGGGGTCAGTTGTACGCAGACCTTAACCCTTGTAATTATACAAGAAGGCTGTTTCCATAGCGACCCAAGGTGCATTGCGTCGTTTGATATATTTTTTCTAGAAACTTCACTAATAGAAGATTGGTGAAGTTTTTAGAAAAAAAATATATCAAACAAAAATACAATTAGGTCACCTACAATATCAAACAGACAAACAAAAGCAGCTCCAAGCCGCCTGAATCCAATTTTATTTTTTTTCATGTCTTCTCCCATCTCATCCAACCGATCAACAACTCAACATATACACAGATCATACGAACCCTAGAGTTAAACGATATCCAATCGCATCGCAATATCACAAATCAAAAGTGATCAACATCAAACAAAGCAAAAAACCAGCACCAATAGCGTCGTCGGCAACGAAAACCGACAAGCTAAGATTACGATACTCTAAGAAAAATCGTACAGATAGAAAAAAAGAGCGTACTATTCTGGATTCATGGCCGGTCGGAATTTGAAAGTTTCTGCTCTACGACGGCTCGACGGCGGTGCTATTGACGGAATGACTCGATTTCCGATAAACGACTTGGTCAGTTGCGTAAACGGATAATTTTTTTTCAGCTTTTGTTTCTTCTCCAATTTTTTATATTTTGTTTTCTACCAAACTTTTTTTCTGTCTATAAAAATTCATTCACCTGATAATAAGCATTTCTAATTAACTGAGGTCAGATAGTTAAACAAGCTTGCTTATTAACGAGTTGAGTCGAGCTCGTTTCCGAGCTTTTATATATGTATATATATATAAATTTTGAAAGAACAAATCGAGCTCAACATGTTAACAAATGAACAAATCATCATATTTTCGGGCGAGTCATTATTTGAGTTTAATTCCAAGCTTTAATTTTATATATACAAACAGTTAATACAATACTCAAAATATAATAACATGTCAATAGTAAATTATCAAAATTGTTGTACAATCCGATATTAATCAAATATTTTTTATATTTAAAAATAATACAACATGTCTATTTGCCAAATAATTATTTACAAAAAAAATAATTATATGAAGCCATCAGATGACTCACTTATCGAGCCATCCATAGTTTTATGTATTGACATGTGTCTAGTGTGTATTTGTTGCAGGACACGTGTCAATACATCATTTGTTAAATAATTGTGGATGACTCCATAAGTCGAACCATACAATATCAATACAATTTCTAGTCAAAGTTTTTAAACTAATAACTATTAATTAATACAATAATATCCTAATAGCCACGTGCAAAAGTCAATGCCCTATCTCCCAATTTGGCCTAATTTCATGGCAAAGTCAATGATCCATCTCCCAATGGGTCTAATATCTGCTTTATGACACGCTTTGGAAATTTGACTAATAGCAAAATATAAAAAGATAAATATTATTTTCCTATTATCTATGATAATGCTAATAATCTCCTTATATATAATCACCGAATGCGCTGCTGTTTCTGGTGCTTGTGAATCCTATTTGACAAAGAATTATGTTTCGTAATTAGGTTTGGACAAGTAATATTGATATATTAATAATTAATAATTTAGGTTCAGACATTCTATAAATATTATTTAGCTAACTTAGTATTTTA